TAAAGGTGCCACAGGACTCTCTGTTACATAGAAAGGAGTGACTGGATATGTCACCATTTCATGCAGCCCCTGGCCAATACATCACCATCCTCTGCAGTCTGGTCTCCAGGGTTCCTACTGTTGTTTGAAGTTTCCCTTGGGGAGAAAACTCCACACGCTAACAGATCTTCTGCCCTCTTGGGAAATGTCTGATCCAGCCTGGAAACGTATCCAATCTCATCCCATTGCTTCGGGAGTGTTTAGATTCCAGCCAGGACTCCTGGGTTCTATTCTCTGGGGGCAGGCAGGTGGGGCAGTGGATATAGGAGAGGATGGGGCTTGGAGTCCAGGAGTCCTGGACTCTGTTCCTAGCTCTGGGAGGGGAGTGGGGTCTAGTGGGTTGGAGCCGGGGGGAGGTGGGGAAGGGCTGGGAGTCAGGATTCCTGGGTTCTTTCCCTGGCTCTGGGAGGGAAGTGGGGTCTAGTGGGTTAGAGAAGGGGGGCTGGGAGTCAGGACACCTGGGTCCAGTTGCTAGAGGAGGGGTGTGAGCCTGGCAGTCAGGATGCCTGGGTTCTCTTCTGTGCTCTCTCTCTGTGACCTAATCCCACCCCGATCTGTGCCTTACGGTCCTGACAGCAGGATGGAATTAATTATCCTCCCCGCTTGCCACCTTGCCCTGTTTCACCCACCCTACCCTGGCACCTGAGCGACCTACCTGCTAAGTGCAGCCACAAAACAAAGAAGCACAATAGCATTGTTCTGGGGCGGAGGCGGGGCAGAGATCGGCTTCCCTCAGGATGTTCTGTGCCCCTGGGTTCTGTCCCGGCCGGCTGGCAGCCTCGCTGTATATGTAAGGGCTCTGGACCGCTGCGGTGAGTTCCTCAGATAGCCCTTCCTACATTCCCCCCACATGTGTCTTCTCTAAGGTGTGTCTTTCCCGATTCCCCGCAGACACCTGAAAGAGGAGGAAACGGCCAAAAGAATATGGTATCGGAATGTGTCATGTCCATTTCCAGCTGGATTAACACCGGTGACAGATGCTGGCGGGGATCCCAACACCGGTATATACAGCAATCGCTTCATCCGGGGCTGAAATGCGGCCACCTCTGGGGCAGAGCAGCTGGGGAACAGCCGCGCAGCTTCATCCGGCGCTGAAATGCAGCTGCCGACTGGCACTGCTAGAGAATGTCTTTTATCCCCTCTCCTGTGCAGCCACTAGGGGGAGATATGGTAACACAGGACTGGAATGGCAGGGGGGCTGCAGGTGGGGAGTGAGGGGCATTGACAGGGTGTGACGTTATTGATATAATCTGGGACCATATAGAACATGGTTGCAACCAAAGTCCTGTAGTGGCACCAAATCTTGTAAAAAGGGGGTCAAATGAAGTTAGGGTTTGCTGGTTATGATTATGCTGTCTATATGTGTGTCTCAATTTTATAGTTAAAGTTGTGAATATTGGCTCTATACTGTCTGTATTTCAAACTTCTGCTATGCTTCTGGGAGACATCCCAGACAAGTTGGTGTCAGCTCTACCTAGCCTGCTTGATGGCCCATTAAGGACCATTGGCTATACAATTGACCCATGAAGAAAAGGCAAATATGCCTTGTAACTCAGCAAAGTATGCAGGAACTTGCCCATGTGACTCCAGACTCCATTTTGCTGTAATTTTCCACAGTAAGAACAAAGAGGTGTTCTTACACCTGGAAAAGACTATATAAGGCTGATGCCTCGTCTCCATCTTGTCTTCAATCCTGCTTCTTACCTCTGGAGGGACTTTGCTACAAACCGAAGCTCTGAACAAAGGACTGAGGACTCATCCCAGCAGGGGATGTACTCCAGAGACTTGATTTTGAACCTGCAGTTTATTCTATCTCTGCTACAAGCCTGAACCAAGAACTTTGCCATTACTGTATGTAATTGATTCCATTTAACCAATTCGAGCTCTCATCTCTATCTTTTTCCTTTTATGAATAAACCTTTAGATTTTAGATTCTAAAGGATTGGCAACAGCGTGATTTGTGGGTAAGATCTGATTTGTATATTGACCTGGGTCTGGGGCACTCTGCAGCACTCTGTTCTGAGCGGCACGGTAAGGGGGCCAGGGGATAGGAGAAGGGGCAGGGAGGTTCTGGAGGGGGCAGTCAAGAGACAGGGAGCAGGGTTGG